ATAGTAGTGTATGCCAGTGTTTTTCTGGCCAAGAGGACATTTGATAAGATTTGGCCTATAAATTAATGTGCTTTCTCTCTCATAATTTACATGTTTCTCAAATTTACTTCTTCCCCTAACTGCAAGAATTGGTGGGGTAGGGGTGGGTGGTGTTGTGGAGTAAAGAATATAATGTGCTACAAAAAAAAGTCTTTGAGTGAGCCTGGCAGCACCCTCATCTTTCCTAGGCAGGCCTTCATTTCAAACAAAAGACCGGAAATTATGGTTATCTGGATATCTAAGAACAAGAGCAATAAAACATATGCATCAGATTTATAAACAAGGAAAGCTTTGCACAACACATAAGCCCAGCACGCACAGAGCTCCATGGGGTCTGGGGTCTGTATGACAACTATATTACTATATGACTCCAAACTTAATTTGCTGCACTCTCCCACCTTCATATGGTAGCAAGTTGGATGTTGAGACAGACTCTAAAAGAAGTAGACACTCTAACTTTGCAAAGAAAGTGTTGAAGTTTTAGTATGTACTTTAGCAGAGAAATAGCACCCACTTAATCCCTTCGGATCTAGTTCAGGTCACCAGTCTTGAATGTATTTTCTTCCACTGCTCTTTATTCCACTTGTACTATATATCTCAGACCACTTTAATAATTAATAACTGAACTCTTCTGACAATAAAGATCCCATAGGGCAAAATCACCATGATGAAGAAAACAGATCACTGTACTTTTAGTTCTCTTAGATTACATTCTACACGCAATTCCCATTGAGGAGGGAAGCTTGTCATTTTCAAAAGGACGCTGGGTTAAGGTTTTAACACCTGAACATGTACAACAGCCTCTGTTCCCACATGAATAATGCTATTAAATTCAAGGCTTCCTTCATGCAATGTAGTCTCACATGGAGCACAGCTTAGAAGATATAGGGAAGAAATTAATAATATGTAAATAAAATTTCAGCCTATTAAATCAATTTGAAAATGACAGTAACAGAATTGTAATATTAGAAAGAAATACCTTAGTTTTAGTGAAGACTGTTAGAAAGAAGATTGCTAATTGCTCAACAAAGTACAAGGAGTAGGAAATACCAGGAGTGACTCCTTGGTACATTGTAGATTAATGTAGTTTTGTCTTCTTCCATTGGTCAAACCTGGTGTGTATTCTCTGTTGATGAATTTGACAAACGCAAAGCCTCAGAGTTCTAAAACATTTTAAGAGTTGAATTTAATATCCTGTGATAGGATGGAATGTCACAGTTCCCAAGAAGAGTGGAATTAGCTTACTGCTCAAGCAATAGCCTCCAAGAAATCTCTTATTTGAAAACTTGCTGGGTCAATCCCTAAAATTTCTAATTCTTTGTCTAATTATTTTCATTCCATGGTCCTAGAATAGGCTCTGGGTTTATATTAGACTAAATTAATCACCTGCTCTACAGAACACTGTCAGATTGGTTTGTGAGAAACTTGTCTCATTTCTTTTATCTCTTTACATTCAGACTTCCAAGGGAAATTTGTAGTTAGTTGAAATTAAGGAGCTTCTCGTGGGAAAGAAATAAATCATAAGAAAATATTTAATCTTGCTGACCTGATATTACATAAGCAGTGATCACATTTCACCTAGATTTTCAGTTTACAATAACTAGAGAGAAATAATGATCTCATATGAATTCCTTTCTCTTCAGTTGCCACCTCTTCAGCAAGGTGCTTCCTTACCTTGTTTCCTGCCACAGAGGCTCATGTACCCTGGGTTTGTCTTTACCGTCTTCATCTGCCACAATTATCTTTTACGATCACCTAACATTCTCCATCACTTGCTTCCTAACTGAAAACCTAAGTAAACTTCCTACAGGCTGAATTTCTTCCCTTTTTGCTCATCCTTGAGTCCCTGGGTCCTAGAACCACCCTGAATACGCAATGGATGCTCAAGTTCTAGGCTGAACATGCATAAAGTCAGTGTACACCATTTTGGAGAGTCATGCCCAGTTTTACAAGACATTAGCCGGTCTGCTCTCTGCTTTCTTTGGTTCTTAGGCCTGCCACTTGGGCAGATATCAACTCAGAGGACTGAAGAGATGGCTTAATACACATTGTCATCTATGAACTCCATAGGAGAAACTGGTTCTGCTATCTGGCATGTCCATGAGCAATTCATTTGCTTTTATTTAATAATTTAATTAGCCAAGAAATCAAGTTTATCTTTTTTATTAGCTTTCCCCCAGAGTAAATTGTGCATGCTTATAACTTGCATTTTTAATTAGCCCAATAAGTAGCTCCATTTTGTGACCTCCACTGATCTTTTCTCACTGTATATATTTGTTTCCTTGTGCCTGTGTTAGGCACTGAAGGAGAGAGTCATGACCAGAGTGCTCTCTTTGAAGCCAGCTGCCTGAGATCAGTCCCAGGTTAGCCAAACCCTTCACAAGCTTGGTAACCTTAGTTAAGCTGGTCAAAAACCTCTCCATATCCATGTCCTCACTTGCAAAATAGAGATAATATTAGTATCTATATTACAAACTTTCTCACCCCAGTGCTGTCATAAGAATTAAATGATTTAAAACACGCACCACGGTTGGAACGGTGCCTGGCACATGTTAAAAGCTCAGTAAAGTTAGCTATTATTTTTACAAGTATTTCAAATCCTTTCTGGAACAAAGTCAGACAAAATAAAGTTTAAAAGTACCAAACATGTCCTAGGAGCTTGGCGCTCTGTGAAGGGCGGAGATGAAGATGAGTAATGTGGGTAGATATGGCACATGTGCAAAGACCTCTCAGAGGGGGATGCAGCAGCTAGCTGTCTACTGAGATGCCTCCAAAAACGTAGCCTCTGCTCTAAGCATGCAAAGTAATGGGTATGGATTACAAGGTTCTAAGACACCTCAGGTGATGACTCAGAATTGTCCATGAGACTAAGGAGTGCAGGTGACATAAAGGTCAGAGTTGTGGATCAAATGCTAGGTCTGGGCCAGATCCTATGCCATTGCTAAATGTTTTTTTTTCTACAAATTCAGATCTACTTTGTTTATATTGAGACCCTTTCTTCATTTGTTTTGTATTGCCAAAGCCAGAGGCCACTCCCCCCAAACCCGCTCTAGCAAGCCAGCTCCTGTGCCCTAGTCCGCCTCTCCCTCAGCGTGTTTGAGAACCCTTGTCTTAAATAGACTAGTGTCTGGTTGCTGCTCCCCATAAATGCCGGAGGTGCCACTTGGCTGGAGGTCCAAGCTTCCTGCTATTACCTGCATTTTCTCCTTACCCTAAACTTCTCATGCTGCTCACCAGCCCACAGCCCCCAGAAACAAATCCAGGTGTTTCTGAAACTCTTTGGATCCTCTTTAGTAGTAATTTATTCCATATGTTCATTGCTCTGTGTGTGAAATGATTTCAACAAGTTCTCCCTCCCGCCTTTTTGTCATTGCATTCAAATTAGCCCACAGTCGAATCCGATGGAGGAGTAACGCTTTCAGAAACACCAAGGCCCTGTGCTTAGGGGAAAGCCAAGGGATATTGCAGCCGGTGAGAGGAGGGGAAAAGAACAAGCAACTCGGACTTGATGCCATTAGTCTATAAGGAAAGGAATACCTCGCAGGGTTGGGGGGAGCAGCTTCACTGGAGTGTTCTGCCTGCAGTTTGCATTTCCCCAGGGTGTCAGTTTTATGAAACAAAGTGACGGGATGATTTCTATCACTTGAGAAGCTGTGTTAAAAAAAAATTGATGCACTGGCAACAGCAAAAATTGTTATGGTAGGAATCAAATTGGTGCTTCCTTGCTGGAAATGAACGGAGCACGAGGACCTGTCAGTTTATTTCTGAGCTCGGCTTTTCAGACTTTAATTTGAGAAAGCAGAAGAAGGTTTAATGGAAATCTGAATCACTGTTAGAAGAGCCCTGTATTTTAAATTTTGATCTCATCGTTGTCTCTACGATCAAAAGGAATCTGTGCTTTATGCTTAGAAGAGAAAGCATTGTCAATTCTAAATCTATTAATGTGGGAGGGAGAAGAAAGGGATGAAATATTAAATGAATGAATTCTGTAATTACTAAGAAAAAACTGTTATTTCTAAATCAGGGCATTGGCCTACATTGTGCCAACATGAAGAATCTTCAATAATTTGCATTTTTTGAATGATCAAAATGTGTTTTCTTAATCAACTTCTGTTAATAACATCTTCTCACCATGGAACTGGAGTTTAATAACAAATATCTCATTTTTGCCCATTTCTCAGAACATTCTTGCTAAAATAGTCATTCCCATTTTTACCTGTGGCTTTCCAGGGGAGAGGGGGGGCAAGATTCGTATACAGCAGAGTCAGCAGTAACCACTGGTTTCATTCTGCTGTTGAAAAACATTGTAAATGCAACTTTATAATTTGAAATCCTACAAAATATACATTCCCAGAACTGACTGAAAACTGCCACCACTATGACAATAATTTTTTTACTGATTCAGTAGGCATTAGTTAAGATCAAGACACTATACTCTGAACCATATGTAAATTAGCTCATTAGCCTATTTCAGTAGCTCTAAGATGTGTGTTAATTATTTTCTCCATTTTACAGATAGTAAAATTAAGGCACTGTTAAAATGGGCAAGTGACTAAACTAGCATTCAAACCAAGTCCATTTGCATAGAGAGCTTACTCTCTCATTGTTAAAGTTGCTTGGAAAGTATACTATAATAACATTATTTCACAGATGATTCCTATTTATAATTGAATCTGGCTCATAACTCCCTTAAAATGTTCCTTTTCGGCTGAAATTTTCTATACTTGGTGTCCATCCAACTGAGTGGTGGCAGGAGGCAAAGAAAATACAACAAGTTCTGGTTGAGGCAGGAACAGATTTTAAGATTCTGTTTAGATTTTGAGACAGTCTGGAGCCTGGACCAGGATCCAAAGCCTGTTGAAAGAGAGTTGCCTTTTCATAACAGCATGGAGTGAGAATTTCCATAGAAACTTAGCTCAAGCACAAAAGTAGACCTGGCTTTAAATAATAGATACGTAAGTACAAACAAGTGTGCGTCCTATTTGGTCTCTGTTGACATTTGGTTACAGACTCAGTTGTTTCAGGTTTCAAGGTATGTTCCTTTCCATCCAGGGGCTTAGCTCTATCTCCCTAATGCTGGCAAGGGTTGGGGTTCACATTCCTGCTTTTGGTTCCTGGATTAGCTTTTGAGTTGTACACTGTACTCTGGGGTCTTACTATGTATGATGTCTCTAGAAGTGGGAGAGCACTGTGTTCCTATTGTTTCCTTCCTCATCTCTTCTGCTTGTGGAACCTTGACCTAAACTTTTGATAGCCTTACTGCTCATGGCCTTTTGCCCATACTTGGGCTATTTGATCTGGATCACTCAGAACAGAATGATGGAGAAGGTTTTCTTTATGAGATGAACTAGAACAAAATCTTAGATTCTTGGACATGTCCTGACTGTATTTTCTTCAAGGAGTCTATTGCATTCGTGTGTTAAAGTTTAGAGATACTCAAAGAAGTTACTTTGAATGTACTCTGCTGATATTTTAATATTAGTATCCACCATTTTGCTGAGTCACACTCTGACTTCTTACTTTCATGACTACTTCATTGCACTTACCAACTCTCAATTTCTCATTGTTTTTGAGACAGATTCATTCATGCTTCCCTTTGAGTATTCTGATTAGTTGTACCTCACTGTCCAGGGGGTACAACTAATCAGAATACCATCCTTAAACTTCCTTATATTTCCTTGACTATATCTCACAATCAATCAATCAATCAATCAATCAATCAATCAATGTCAACCAGAACTATTTTCTCACGCTCTCAAAAAAATTAATTATATTAGTATTAATACATATGCATACATTCATATCATTTATTAGAACTCAAAATTATAATCCACAATTCTTACTATAATTGAGCAGTTCATTCTTCATTAAATATGCATTGATATCTACTAACTACCAGCTTTTAGATAAGAACTGCCAAACAGAGGCTTGGAGAGATGACTCGGAACTTAAGAACACTCACTTTAGTAGAAGATCCCTGGGCTGCTGCAGAAGCAGGAAGGAAGGACTCCATGCTGATATAGCCAGAGAGCCAAAGGGAGAGCAGCTGGACGGTAGGACAGAGGAGAAAGGAACACATGATCACTGGGCCTGGTGAATGATACAAAGATTTTGAATTTAGCATGACGGAAGTGGAGGGATATTAGAAAGTTTGAGTGATGAATGTGATCTGTGGTTTCTCTGTGTTCTGTTGAGAACAGACACATATGGTAAGGACAAAAGCGAGGAGAACTATTGGGAAAATACAGTGGCTTCAGAGATAAAGACAATAATAGGATTTTATACACAGCTTGAAAACTTCATTCTTAGACTGCAGGACTTTGTATAATATACATATTTATATAAATATTATATAGTCTCAACATATGGTATCACTAAGGGTTATGAGCTTTGATCTGAAGCTTGTGATTGAGAACATAATTGACAAGAAAGATGTTTCCTTACTAAATATAATTACTTAAAAATCTTAAATAAACTCAAGTAGCTTTAGCATTTGGGTAAAAATTATACATGCTGTATATATACATATCCACCCATATTTACATACGTGAACTTAAGTACTTATCTCAAGAAGTATAAATAATCTAATAGGCAAAGCATTCCATGCATCAGTGTTACTATTCTTCAAGATTTGAGACTATCCTAATATTACCGAATAATCTATTTTTTAATTGGAGCTGAAAGTAAAGCTCTGAAATCAGAGCTCTGACAGTAGTTTTCTATGGCTATTCGTATTACCTCATCTTGGCAGGAGCACACAACTCATTTCAGAGGCTATAAGAACAAGGCAGGGTAGTTCTAATGTGAAGTGGGTAAAGGGCTTTCAAAGGGAAGCCAGGCAGAAGTAAAAAAGCTGAGATCCTCCCAGGCACAGGGCTCTATCTAGAAGTGTCTAGGCAGGCTGATGCCTCGATAGGGTGTGGACCTAAGAAAACCTGCCCTGTGCACCTGCTCACTGTGTGGTGATGTACAGAGCACATGCAACAGGCTAAGAGACTGAGTATAGTTTACTTCAGAAATTCTTTGGCTAGAGAGGCCTGAAGTAACCAGGCAGAAATTGAGTGTTTGACAAATGTGTGGTAGTTTGACTATTAAAATCTCTGGTCACGGATAATAATGCAATGCTCCTTGGCGGGCAAAATGAAAAGCTATCAGAGTAATATTTGCTTTCATCTGCTCTGATATAATGCCGAGAGTACCCGCTTATTTGTGGTTTCTTCCTGGGGTGCATTCTGAATCCCATAAATTTCAGTTCCAGGGAAAACAGTGCTGAGGTGCAGGGAAAAAGCCCAAATTTCTCTTCTCTGATTTAAAAACTGTCTCCCACAGTGAGCTTCTCTGTTTGTCAAAAACTCTAATTGGTGTTTTCTCAACTTGCTGCTCGGCTGGTTTCTTTCTATTGATTTCATTTGGGGTTTGTAAAGCTGTATTTGGAGCCCTTTCCAGAGTTTGTTTGGAAGCTCATTTTTAATTTTAATGAAAATGCATTTTTAAAAATGTATATTATACCACCCTGCCGATTTTGCTCAAATAAACCTGCTACTGTTTTCAATGACTTCCAACCATGTTAGTGCCCTCAGTCTCACTCACTAAAGGGACCCCTGTGCTACTCCTGGCAAAGTAACAAGATTAAGTAGAAAAATGAATGTTCTTCACTGTTTTTCAAGACTCTTAGCCAACAAAGGAAAAAAAGATTCATTCAGGATCCAGAAAACAGGTTTTCCCACCTCAGTTCTGAACAGCTTCCGTTGCCCATTGGAAGTCTCATTATTCTGAAGAATCCAAATTTCTGCCAAGAAATTTAAAAACCAGTAATAAATTTAGGTTTAGAATTAAATAAAATATAACCATAAATTTCAATAAATTTGATGATTAAGAAATATTTTTAAAACCTTTCATCTTTATCTGTTGTTAATCCTTAGAGCAAAGTTATAGTGACAGACTCTAATGTCAGTTCTGTATAAGCAGTAATGCTAAAATTCCACTTCCAAAATATGATCAAATATCCTGTGATTTGCCTCAATTCCGCCATTTTTTCTCACCTTCAAGATATACTGTCATAGTCATTTCTATTATCTCAACTTTCATGATGCTCCAACAAGCCAGTTTTGCATCTTCTAGCTTTTCCGTCTATTAAGTAGCCCCAAGTCCTGGATACTTTATTTGAAGTATCTGAGAGACACAACACTTCTCTCCTGCTGCAAATGCCTTCCTTAGATCTGGTCCTGCACAGGTTCTCATGCACTACCAAGCAGTCTTCTTCTTAGCTAATCTTTCTTTCATGCCACCATTACTGTCCTTTAATAACACATTCTGGCAACACGTGCCTTATCTTTAGAAAAACTTCCAGAAAACAACAGCAAAGAAAATGAATCAAGTTCAAATTCTTCAGCTAGGCACATCCTTTGCTGTTTTCAAGCTGCATTTTCCTCTAGATGTTTCTTTAATGAGCTATTTTCCAGCTACAGTGAAAGGGGGGGCGGGCAAAGAGCCTTCTACATCTATTGGCTTTTATATATCTATCAGTTTTATCATGTCTATTTTTATAGTTTGGCAAAGTATGAAGTAAGGGGAATGACCCGAAACAAGGTCTAGGCAGAGTTCTAAATCTACTGTGTATTGCAGATGTTAAGAGCTCTGTCTTAATTTCCTCATTTCTAAAATGGAGATCATAAAGCCTACTTGTTTAGAACTTAAAGATTCAATGAAGTGAGTTCACTTAATAGAGTTATCTAAATGTAAGCCATTACTACTTATGAAAAGGAAAGGGAAATTAACATAAGCATAAAAGACAGGACAACAGTGAGATTTCTACTTGGCAGAACACTGATTTCTCCACATGGAGAATCATTTCTATTCTACCTTATATATGTTCTTCTTTTTAATGTTTTTCTCTTGCTTTGTGCTAGATGCCTCTTTGGTGGGTGCAATGGTTGATTTAACATCAACCTGTTGCAAATTAGAATCACCTAAGTGAGTAGGGAGCATCAACTGAGGAATTGTCCTAATTGCCTTATTGATGTGGGAAGACCCACCCAGGGAGCTTGGCAAAAGGGAGATCATTGGCCTTTTTGCTTGCTCTTCCTTTCCTCTTGCTGCTGACTTGGAGTTGCTACTGGTGCTGATTCCTTTACCAGCACTTTCAGGGTTCCATCACTGACTGGGAGCAGTGGCTTTCCAGAACTGCCCCAGCTTTTTGGCACTAGATTGGAAGTGCGGGAACACTCAACCTCATGGACTGGTCAACTGCCAATTTCTTGGCCTTTCCAGTTTAACAGAGACATTGAAGGAGTACTTTGACTGCTGTGGTTACTAGCTCAACTCAACCTGACTTTAAAAATCTTTCTCTCTGTGTACATAAATATTCTTCCTTTCTATCAGTTCTTTTCCTCTGGAGAAATCTGATTCAGTGTTTTACATGTTTTCTTTCAGACAACTAATGCAGTGTTCTGAGTTCAAATGACTGAAGAGTTCCCTTGTCCATCTTGAATAAGACTATACCAAAAAGAAAGGAGACAAGAACCACTGGGATAAAGAGAGATAAAGAACATTGCAAGTCTTGACTGTTTCTAATATTTAGGTATTTTAATGTGATAAACATCATTGCATGAAGATCCCTATATACTGATGAATGGTTTCCCAGGAAGAAAACATTGTTTCCTCTTTCAATTCTAAATAACTACAAGGACTGTTAGATTAATTTAATATCATAGTACAAAACTGATGTTCTGAAAAACAGAGTTTCTTAATGTTCTTTTATCCATAACCAAATATTTTACTAATTAGGTAGATAACTTTATTTGTCAGGCTCATACTATAGTCAAGGCATTGACCTTAGTCTGAATTCCATGTATACATGCTAGCTTCACTAGAAGATTGCTGTTTCTTTCTTATTTTAGGCTCAACTATATTTACTGATTTTGTTTTTTGAGAATTATATGACTTAAGATTTTCAATCAATAGTTCTACTTTTGTGCTCTATTGGTGGCTTGTGCTTACAGGTAGAAATCTACAAAAGCAGATATGAAGAAT